TTCTTCTAAAAGTGCCTCTCCGACTAGCGAAGGTTGGCGGTCAGTTCTCCAAATTTGACCTTGTCTCTTGCGAGGCGAAACAGTTGGGCGGCACTCGCAATTCCTGTCCACTCTCGGATGTTGCGTAACCACGATTTCTTACGACGACCAACACTCCTTTTGCCGGAAACTTTTCCCATCAAGATGAGTTGGAGGAGATCATATCTGTCATGCCTGAGCACGTGGCCGAGATAAGATACTTTTCTCATCTTGATGGTCTGCAAAAGTTCCCTTTTTTGGTGGACTCGTCGCAGAACCTCCTCGTTTGTCCTCTCTCTCTCTCTGAGTCCAGCTTATGGCCAACATGCGCCTATAGGCCCACATCTCGAACGCTGCTATACGTTTTTTGTAAAACATGCCCACAAAAATTAATTGCCATCAGAACTTTGATATACGAATACTGAAATAAACGTTATTGCATTAAATCATATTTACGAGATTTACATTAAATTAATAAATATTAGGTAATTCAAAGTTAGAAAACAATTTCCGAGTGGAATAAAACCTATTGTTTTATACATTAACTAGTTTTCGCCCGCGACTCCGTCCGTATAAAAAACAAAAGAAAGGCCTATGTGTTCTTCCAGACTATCCTCTACATCCCATACTAAATTTCGAAATCCATTAAGCCGTTAAGGCTACAAACTCTAAGAAACATCTTTAAACTTTTCATCTATACTATTATAATAAAGTGTACACACACACACACATTTCTTTTGTTGCCTAAGATGTCAGCAATCACAGCATATTTTTGAATAATTATGTCTTTAATAAAAAGCCCTACTCTTACGTCACGCTTTAGGCTATATATTTAAAGCCACTAAATTTAGGGGGTAAATATTTTGAATAAAAACCCTAATGTGGGAAAGAGACCATAAGTTGCTGCCAACATCAAGGAAGCAAGGTTGTCATCATGTCATGTAATTTTGACATTTGTAATTGATAATTCGACAAATGTAAAATAAAATTTTCATGCAGATGAAGTCGCGCAGGGACAGATAGTTTATAATATTAGTATGAGTATGATTTTAATACAGATTGAAACTGAATACAAATTAAATTTAGATGTACTTATCCAATTCGCGATTATTTCCCTGGTATTTCAATACAATATTTATACCTCATCTTTGATTTAGATCAGGATTCAGTCACCATTTACGTCATAAAACGTAGACAACAACATTTTTTATTTCTAATTTTCTGTATCTTTTGTCCGCGACTCCGTTCGCGTGCAACCAAAAGAACAAAAGTAACCTATGTGTCTTCCAGATTATCTTCTACATGTATGCCATATTCCATCAAGATCCGTTCATCAGTATAGACTAGAAACTGTATCAAACATACATATATCTAAACTTTCGCATTTATAATATTAGTAAAATGTCAATATCAATACAATGTCTTCGTTGTAACTATGAAAGTTTTTGTAAATATAATTCAGTAGAGACTTAAATTAGTATCAAAATAAAATTAAATGTTTGCTTTATACGTGATTTTCATTTAAATAGTGTTTATTTCAAAATTAGCTCGCGTTCAGTGAGTAATCAGTAGAATTCAAACATTTTCATAATTACGTCTATTGAAAACTGTCCAATGCTTTTCAAAGTTATGAAGATCTAAAATTATACAAACCTTACGAAGTTGTGCTTTACAATGTAATGTTAATTTATTTGATGTCTTAATATTCTTACTAGTTGTAGTTCACGTAGAATAAAACAACAATTGAATACTGTAATTTACATGACAAATTTGTATTCAGATTACATCTGCCGTTATAGTGTTTCCAAGTAAAAATTTCCACTTTTATAATATCAGGTATTTTTGTGGTCTATGACACTTTTAATTAGTAAACATAAGGACTGTACTAAGGTATGTTTAAATGATTCTCCATAGCTTTATGTAATCTTCCGACAGAGACATATGTGAGACCAGGTGTGGAAACTCTCCAACATTCATTTGTCTGAATTAACTCAAAGGTTTTGGCAACTAGACTGTCACGAAAGTGTGATAAACATTTTTGTTTATTGCGGAAATATAAAAAGGATATATTATGTATTTCTTAGTAAATATTGGTCACTTAATTCTATGACAATAGATAACAAAGGTCAATTATTATCGGGTACTAACTGAACAGCGGAAAACGACTTCATAATAATACGTAAAGCAAGAGTATGTACAATCAGCTGCACAAATATGTAATCTACGCTATTAACAATTACGTATGTGCGTATTTTTTGGTCCGATTGTCTGTAAAAGTAATGTATTTAATTTTGCAGCTGACTGTACACCATTTCAAAGAAATTCAGCGAATGAACATAAAATAACATATTTAAAGTTGTTATGGATAACATTTGAAAATGAATTTGAAAAACATAATGGTTATATTATAATTTAATCTAGAATTGTCATATGCAAATAAACCCTGTCGTAAACACATTAGAAATGGCTAATGGAGTTGTCAACATTGAACAAATGGTAACAAATGAGAACAAACCACAACTAACAAACTAACAGCGGACCGGATACGGGTACAATAAAATACGTACAATAGACCAGTTTCCATTCTGCTAATGT